CATCCTGCTTACAACTTTTTTGAACTGTTGCTGTCTGGCAGAAGATATAGAACAATTAAGACTCGGAACACACGTTTTTCTGAATAGTTTTTATCCCAGAGCTATAATTGCACTTAATAATGAGCTTAAATACCACTAGTAGTGAATATTTAGTTGGACAGTGTTACTTAGCCTGCAGTGTAGATGTTTGTATTCTTAGTGGGGGATATTTATGTGTGTGCATGTGGGTGTGGTCTCTGGGTGCCTATATGAATTTCTTTGTATGGGTGTACCATGTATATACTTACAATGACAATAAATTAAATTATTAAATTGAATCAAAAATGGGATCTAACTGAAGAATTGCCAGACTTGGTCTACTATTTTTACTAGAATCTCAAGAGGTGAGAAACAGAAGCAAATGTAAAATAATGGGACTGTGCCCATCATATTCCTATACAAAGTTATATCTAAGTTAACTACAGATCAAGAGGTAGCATTGGAAGTCAAGAGGTAATCAATCAATTCAAGAATTGAATCAAAAATGGGATCTAACTGAAGAATTGCCAGACTTGGTCTACTATTTTTACTAGAATCTCAAGAGGTGAGAAACAGAAGCAAATGTAAAATAATGGGACTGTGCCCATCATATTCCTATACAAAGTTATATCTAAGTTAACTACAGATCAAGAGGTAGCATTGGAAGTCAAGAGGTAATCAATCAATTCAAGATTGTTAGATCTGAAATTCTGCCTGCTAATGTTAAGTTGATAGATATCAAGAAATGTTTACTGTTCTAGAGCAAATTGGCCATATATTTACCAGTCTGGAGTTGTGACCTACCTTCTGCCTAGAATTGGCTCATCGGAGCTTATCCCCAAAACATGGCGAAATGTTAATGGAATGCCCAGTGATCATTTAGTGCTGCAGGACTGGGCATGTCTTGGCTCCATGTATTCTTGGTTACTCTGGCATGGCTTTGAGGATGAAATAGAACCATTTAAATACTCTTACAACAGTTTATTGTTATGTCTGATCTGGCACAAACAGGTTAGTTTTAACTATAGTTTATCTAAACAAGCCAGGATCTTGAATCACCATTTGATGTCATGCTTCCTGCAAATTGCAGCCAGAACAAAATCAGTTGTGATTGGTTTAGGAATGCAGCATGCTTTAGCTACCTGAAAATATGATACAAACACTTCCAATCTTTCAGCAGGACTGCCCGGTTGATGCGTGATCTACTTCAATGAATAATTATTTTGTGCTAGAAATGAGGATCACCTAACAAAGTTATTATACAATAGACCAGTTTTTCCCTTATTGGATCTCCAGACGCTCTTGGATTGCAACTCCCAGAAGCCTTCACCCCTAGGATTTCTGGGAGTTGTAGTCCCAAGAGCATCTAAGGACCCATAGTTGGGAACCATTGCAATAGGCAAAGCCCTATTATAAAAAGTATTATTTTATGTTATTGTGCTTTGCCACCAAGTTGTATTTGACTTTCAGGACACCTCATAGAGTTTTCAAAGTTTACAAGATGTTCAAGGACTGGTTTAGCATTGCTACCGTCACCCCCACAGGTTTCCATAGCTGAGTGAAGAATTAAACACAGTTTTTTTGAGTCACAGTCTAACCCTATCCACTAGTGACTACACCACAAGGGCACTACTTCATGCAGTTTTCCAACTCACTATTGCAAGACACAGGTATGGGTACTGCTTGGGATTATTTTTAAAAGTATAGATTATGTTTGGAGTATAGATCTAGTAAAAGCTATTAGCCACGAGGGGGTTAAATCTGATGACCCACATCTTCCTCCAACTAGTCAACCTGTTGAAACAGTAGATAAATGGCCAATCAACACTCGACGCAAATCCTATGGGATTTAATGGATCTACTCTAGTGGGGACTAGCAATAGGATAGTAAACTTACTGAAATGAACGAGACTTGTTTTTTATAAGAACCACAAATTAAGCAACACTAGTTTAGTTGGGATTTACACTAGAATTAGCCTATGTGAATATATAGAAGCCGTATAGCTCTCGTTGCTGTGGACAAACCAAAGAGGAAGAATTGACTTCTCAACATGTCCTGAGCGCTCAGGGTCTTCTGGCTGACTTCAGTTAGGGGGAAAAAAATGCTCGTCTAGACAAGACTTTGATCTGATTCAGCATGGAAGTTCTTTGATGCGCAAACGATGCACAAACACAGCAAGAGGTCTTCTAGTTGAACAGTATGAGACAGATCAGTGGAAAGGTGTGGCGTTTTATGTTTTTTGTGCTATACATGTCAACGGAGATGTAAAATAAATCCAAATTGCTGGAGACCATGGGAAGAGAACTAATTACGCCAAACAACAGTGAATGTATGAGTAATTCTGACTGCAAGGTTTGAAAGGTGAGGATACCAACCAAATGTTCCGTCTCCTGCTAGGGTAACAAATGGTTTATTATGTGCTCTCATATTGATCCCAATTGTATGGCAACCCTCCCAGGGTTTTCCAGGTGCAAAGTACTCAGAAGTGGTTTATCAGCCCCTCCTTCTGGTGTTGCCTTGGGACTGTGCAGCTTGCCCAAGCCGGCCAGGTGTAACTCCTATGCACAATTTGATTCAGCCCAGGAATCAAATTGCGTTTGTTAATTTTATTTTTTTTCTCAGCCACTAAAGAACAACACGAAGAACAGCTTTTAATGATTTACGGTCTTCTAAATCTAGCCCCTTCTAAATGTAAGCCGTTTCAAACCTCTGTAAAATACCCAGGCTATGGGATGCCCAAGGAAGCTATTTCAGTTCTAGTTCAGTGTCCATTAGAAATGGACTGGATAAGAACGAATAAACTGAAACTTAATCCAGATAAGACAGAGGTGCTCCTGGTTGGTCAAAAGGCAGATCAAAGAAGAGGGATGCAAGCCTGTGCTGTGTTTTAACATGCTATACAGAAAGGAAACACATCCCCACTCATAGAAAAGCAGCAGCATGTGATATGCTCCTTTTCTAGATGTAGGGTGGAGATAGTCAAAATATATACTTGCTTAAACCACTTGACCTGAACAGCTAAGGTGTG